AATTTAAATGCTAAAGGTAACTTATCAGCCTTTGTCACTTATAGTAATAAAAAAAAACAATAAATTACATACAAGCAAATGACCGGCGCGCACTTCCGAATGGTATAGTCCAGTGCTCTCAAAGTTATTTAGGTCGACGATCACTCAAGGCGTTGCGAAACGTTCCCGACAGACCAATGATCCCTAACATTACTACTACCAATATATGTGTCGCAGATAAATTAATAAACCCATTACTAAACAAATTGCCTAAATATTGAAAAAATCGAACCGTTTTAGTAGCAACCCTAAAGTCACAGGGCTGCTAAACTACGTACCATACAGTTTGCAAAATTATACATTATATGGGTATTTCTACTTCAATTTCATTACAATATTTATAAGTAATTTTTACATATGTAGAAGTATAATGTTCGTAAGATACGGATTTCTTACCACGATTGAATTGTTTTAGCTTCCGATATTTCATATATACTATATATTTGTAAAAAACACGACAGTTTAAAATTATATATGTAGTAGTATTATAATATATTGCACGATTAGCTAGTAATCATTTTAGTTTATTACAATTAGTCTACGTAGAAATAGCTCCCATTTTAATAAAGTATGTTCATTAAAACATTCCACAGTTTTGATAAGTATACCTAGAATTTTTATATTCATAATGTTTTATTCTAGATTTATCTAGGGGTCTTCTCACTTAGTCCAGATTCATTACTTTAATATTTTAAATCCAATATATTAAAGTATGACATGAGATGTTTAATTTTCTTGCGGGCCGTAACACCAAGAGTTGAAGACCCCTGATATGAAGCATGGAATAGATATATTCAACACTAAAAGAATTATATTAATGTAAATGTTTGTATTTCCATGCTGTCCGATAGACAAGAACCTCGGTGAGTTCATCTCTTATTTTTAATTTTTAAATTGTCCTGTACCGTTAACAGCACAATATGTTAACAATAACGAACACTGTGAATGTTTTCAAACACTATTTACCATCTACATGTTTATTTATGACTAGCTGTTCCTGTGCGATTTCATCAGCATAAAATTATTTTATTGTTAACATGTGTCAAATTGTCAATTACACATGTCAAAAGCCATGACATGACAAAACTTGGCAATCTTGCTTCCTTGATGTTGGCAGCAACTTATGATCTCTTTCCCACATTAGGGTTTCTATCCAAAATATTAACCCCCTAAGTTTAATGGCGTGAAAATATATAGCCTAAAGCATGACGTAAGTGTAGGGTTTTTATTAATAAAAATAATTATTTAAAAATATACTGTAATCGCTGACATCTTAGGCAACAAAGAAGTGTGTGTTTACGCTTTATTATAATAGTATAGATATATTTCTAATTGATCACTTATTTTCTCGAAGGTTCTAACTAATACAAGGAACAAAAAATGTATTTTAGTGTACGATTTGTAAGCCTAGTTATATTCATTACAACAATCTCTTGTTTGTTGCTATTATAAAGTCTGTACTCTAAGAAATACAGTAGCGCGTTCAGTGCTAAAGTTACATTCCTACTTTCACTGTAGTGTCGAACCCCTAGAGAAATGACAATGCGGGGTGACACTCGCGATTTATGGAACATAACGGAACACACCCACGATGAAATTATAACAATGCGGTGTGGGCGTGGGTCTATAAGGCCGGTTGTTGCCCTGCCTTATGTAATAATGTTATTTGCACTGGATTCTAATATACACATTTATTTTATGTCTAGACATCGCTCATGTTGCGGCAAAATATATTACGTTGCGGGAATATGTGATAAACGGATAATGCGACTAAATAATTAGGTTATTTCCCATCAAATGTGAGGAAATGTAATAATTATTATATTTGTATCCTTCCGGGAAAATCGGTCATAGACCATAAAGAGCAAACAACAATTATTCAAGACGACTGATAAATTTTATGCAAATTCTATCGTTTTTCGCAAGGAATTGATACTTAATAATTTTCAAACTTAATTTCGTAATGTTTAAAGTAACTTAGATAAAGCTCCCAGCAGATGCTGAGATGTAACCGACAGCTTGTAATGAAAATTGGTATTTAATAAATGGCTTGTCAATAAAACTGTAAAGTTAAAGTTATGCCTAAAAACAGTTATAAACCACTAGCTTTCGCATGCGATTCTGTTCGCGTGAAATTAAAAAAAAAATTAATTTAAAACATAACCTATGTTACTCACAGACAACGTAGCTTTTTCATGGTAAAAGAATTTTTGAAATCGGCCCAGTAGTTTTTGAGTTACTTCATTACATTCAAACAAACAAAGTTTTCCTCTTTATAATACTAGTATGACTAGTATGATGAGTTCGCCGGTTCAGCTGGAACTAACAGAATATAACGGGTCTAAGGGAAGGTAACATAAGTATATGAACATTCTGGTACACATGTATGTATGCTAGAAATCGAAGCACCTTGACCTGTCCGCAGTAAAAGAAAATCAATAAAGCTCGCTGCGGACAATTACGTAAACAGACTACTGTCGCCTGCGACCTGAAGGGATGATGTAATGGGGATGTTTCCTAATTTTTGGAATAGCCTTTATTTTGTAGATCAACCATGTATGAACACGAAAAAAAATAGTATAAAATATAATACTCATTATTTCAATAAAAAAACACGTAAATAAAAACAACTCTTTCATTTCCCCCCAAAACGTCCCATGACGTCACTTCTTTGCATACGAACCTCGCGTCACGGCCTGTCACTGTCAATTTGAAAGAACCATTGATTGATAATACTCGTAAATCTTTGTTGTCTAAAGTTGTTTTTAGTAATGGAGATAAAAATGAAAAAACCAAAATGAACAGAAGGTGATACTTTTAACGTATTAATTACACTTGTTGCTTCTCGTGAAAGATTATGTTTGTGTGTAAACAGTGACTGCGTCCTACACCAGTGTGACCAGGTATAAATTAAATTGTACTATAAGCTACTCTTATGAATTTTGATATATTTTTCTTTTGTAATATTCATAAAATGTTTTGCTCATAACTTATGTCGTAATTATAAAAACACTCAATAATGGAGTCCTCATAATATAAAACACGCAAACTCAATTATTACAATCAAGTTGAAGTTGGTCACACTGCCATGTTATATGCAAGAAAGTGACGTCATTGGTGTTTGAGATCGAGTAATGGAGGGTAAAAAATATTGCAGCATTTTTAATTTATATTTAATTTGAGACAAACATTCAAGGTCTCTAAATGTTATTATAGGTTATAAAATGCTGTCTTTAAAATATTAAACATAACTTTATTTGGATTTGTAACATTAGGAAACATCCCCATTGCGTTTCCATATGTACTGTATACTGTCGTCCCTTTCATTTCCTTTGAGAAAACGGAGATAGTTTTCCATGTGTTTCGGTGTAACAAGCGGTGAAACAACGGGACAATGCAGTCAGGTAATAAGAGATAGTCGAGCTCTAACCGCAGGAACTCTCACAAGATTAGATTAACGATGATATTAATTAATTTAATTGCATTAAAAAGAATTGCACTAATTTTCGATAGAAAAATGTTATTTAATGATTTGCTAACTTTAATTTCATAGGCGCTTTTAAACCAAACGTCATAACAACTTTACAAAAGTAACAAAAAACGCTGAGTTTGACAGTATTTTTTTTTAATAATTATAAACAGATGTCATTCAATTATAATTACTAAATTCTACTATTCTGTAATACTTTATACGTGTATTTGATCTGAGAGATAAATAAAAATCCTTGATCATTCCGGTAGAATGAAATTCCTTGTACTTACAGTGTTAGAGTCTGCTTTCACGGACATCCATCCAGTGACCACAATGTTCTGTGACCTTATTATAGTTTACAGTTACAGCCGCCGCAGCGCTAGCATGCGTTAGTGGTCGTTAATTTTATTACCTTGCATTTACATATTTATGATGAAAACATTTGCTTAGATAATTAAATACTTTATAGAGATTTGATATTAAAAATAAGTACTGGTTAACGAAATCAATAGTTTTTTAAATGCCAGAAATACAATTATTTAAGCGTAAAAATAGCGCCATCTCGTAGTATCAGTGGTAAATTATTTTGTCTTTTTTAATGTAGGTATAATGGAACAAGCAACTATATTGAACTTTTCTGTACGCGTTCAATAAAATAAGGGAATTTAAATGTTTCTTTTTCACATATTCGTATAGGATACCGGCTAGACGACCACCTGGTATCGGTAATAAAGGTCATCGGGTACGGACCTGTCCTATCCTTATACAGGCTGTTACTCATTTTGCGACGAGTTTCTTATGGTATAACATTGAATTCTTGCTCGAAAGAAATATCTGCTTTTTAATATTTCGTGTCTTTCTGAAAATATATTTCAATACACATGCGGTACCTACTCTAATTTAAAATACTATGCTAGCTTTAACAGGCACTCAGGGCGTCCTTCGTATAATTTAAGTAAGAGAAATTTGATTCACTGATTTTAGCTGCCTAGCATAATTTGTGTTAATAATATTTTCTTAATGGTACAAAACCTTTATAAATAAAGATTACGTTGTCTGTACGTTTCCTTACAAACACAACACAATATGTCCACAATGTGATCATCATTCAACCCGAGTAAACCAAGTAATGACAACAAACACACTTTGTATTATCTGTGCAAATGTGAAACAAATGACTTCTTCTGTATTTTATTCATGTTCAAGGAAACACTAACATTAAGAAGCAGTTAGGGTCGTCAATACTACTATTAAGATGTACTATTACATAGAATATGAGCATGCAAATCAAGCCAATAATCAAGCCTGACTTAAGGTCCTATTTGGTACAGCCCTAGCATGCCCATTGTTAGGGATGTGCCAAATGAAATTTTTTACCCTAAAGTTCCGACTGCCGAGTTGTAACATCCATAACACACCTCTTGCTAGGGCTGTGCTAAACAATTCTTATTTAACTATAGCAATTGTTTAAACGCTATTTTTACATCAGGCGCTTTCCGAAGCATCGGAGAGAAAACCGCGTCCCTATTCGAGCGTAAGAAGAAGGATGCAGAGCAGATCGCAGCGGAGAAGGCACAAGAGGCTGCCCACGTGGTTGAAGAACAAGTAAAGAAGGCGGGAGAAATGATTGGCGGGGCTCAGCAGAACGCTAACCAAGCCGCTGACGCAGGTTTGTTGTACAAATACGTGTTTAAAAAAACTTATATAATCAATCTAGGAGCGACGTTTAAGTGGTCTCAGTGTTCTCTTAGTCTATGAGAAATAGAATCATTAGATTTTTTTTCAAATTAAACAATTATGCTCTTCGTAATAATTGAATCTGATTCATTTCAAACAGGATCAAGCACGCAACGTGCAGGGTAAATAAACTGGTTTATCGTACAAGGTCATTTTATCAGTTGGATTATCTATGATTTTTGTATTTTAGTACATCTCTGTTACCAACAGTGACAGTCGTGTTTTTTCAATTAAAACCTATTTTTAAATCGTCATGTCTTTCTTTAGTAATCTATTGAATTTCGGTGAGGTTTATTTTTTTTTTAAATTAACAGTGACAAATAAGAGATCGTTCTTTACTTGACACAACAAAAATTTTGTGTTGTGATATAAATCGGTTCTGATTTGTGTAACAGAATATCTAATATTTGCAGAAATATATTAAATACAAGTCATTACAAATGTTTTACGACTTGTATACTTCTCTTTAACAAACGAATACGTAAATCCAAATATCATTTTGTCAACAGCTTCTAACACGAAGAATGCAGCTATCGATGCTTTAGACAAGGAACTGTCGAAGGTATCCCTGGCAGCCGGCGAGGCTGTGGACGCCGCCAACAAGGCAGTCGCTGATGGAAAGAAAGTCATCGACACGACTAAAGGTATAATATGCACAAGAATTGTTTTTTTTTAATCATGTAGGAACTGCCAATATCAGGGTTAGGTACAATAAAAGGAGGAGTAGAACAAGATCGTAAAACAAATGAAGAACGAGTACGTAAATAGTGCATTATTTAGAATTTTTTTTTTTAAAGTATAATAGTTGCTGCTTTGTTTCCTTTTATTTTACACCTTTTTATCAAAAGCATTTTTGTAGTTGCTTTATTATTTTTTTTGCGATTTTAGACACACTCGCAACAACAGTCGACAACACGAAGAAAGCCGCAGAATCCGCGTACAATACAACTAAAGGTGAGTGCTTATTGTTACTTGATTTTATCTTTCTTCTCTTATCCTTCCTCTTTTAGTTTATTTCTTTTTAATTTCCTATAGATACTGTAAGTAGCACGGTTGAGGGTACTAAGAGTTTAACACAATCTGCAGTTGACACCAGCATGAGTTATGTTGGGAGTGCAAAAGGTAAGAAAAATCATTTACGAATTTTGCATGATTCAAATTTTATTATACGAGATTTTTAACCAAAGATGTAAATTTCTATTATTATGGTATTTGGTATATTTTTTATTGTACTAATAATTCTATTTATTTATGTATGTTTATTAAAGGTATTATATATATTTTTGTAGATACCGTAGCGAATGTTGCACAAAGCACTGTAGATACAGCACAAAAAACCGCTTATTCGGCGTTTGAAACTGGAAAATCGTATGCCGCTAGTGCGAAAGGTACATTTAGTATATTTTAACCTGGCATTTGACTTGGCACGTCGGCAATAAGAGTACTTATCTACTCGATGCGCCTTAGCTGGTTACTATTAATATCGGCTTGTAATAATTGATATATCTTGTTCTGATAATAGATACAATAGCAAACACCGTCAGTAGTACAGTAGATACGACCCAAAGAGCCGCGCAATCAGTTCTAGAGACAGGAAAAACGTATGCAACAAGTGCAAAAGGTATACAAGAGTAGATATATGTAAACAAAAGTGAATTCTATTATAATAAGCATATGATTGTATTTTAGATACAGTAGCTAATACAGTATCTAGTGCCGCGGATACTACACAGAAAACTGCACTGTCCGCATTTGAAACTGGTAAATTGTACGCTACAAGTGCAAAAGGTAATCATTTTCTTTTGAATCAAAGATACTAAAGTAAAAGAAATATAATTTGACATAAACATTAGTGCGGCAGTGGGTACAACACAAAAAACTGCTCAGTCCGCTTTTGATACTGGAAAAAGTTACGCGTCTAGTGCTCAAGGTACACAAAAATCTTAGAGTGCCACCTCCTTAGAAAGACTACGATCATTAGAACTACTTACAATTGCCACCGTGGCTCTGAAAAGGGAACCGTTGCTTTTGTCTTCTGACCTTTTTGAATCAATAGCGTAGGTTTGTGAGCCTGGATATTCTTTTCCAACTTACACTTCTTGTATCTTTCTATGGACGATGAACTTCCAATCCACAATCTAAATCATTATAAAAAGGAATATAGTATTATATGAAATTATATTTTAATTTTAGACAAAGTCTCTACCGCTGTAAGTAGTACTGTGGATTCCACACAAAAAACTGCACAATCCGCTTTAGATACTGGAAAATCTTACGCTGTTTTTGCACAAGGTAATTAAAATTATTTAGCACTAGCTTTCGCTCGCGAATCCGTTCGCTGGAATAAAAAAAAAAACAAAAGTGGGTAGTCTATGTGTTCTTCCAGTCTATCATCTACATCTATGCCAAATTTCTTTAAAATCTGTTCAGCCGTTGAGGCTACAAACCAAGGGCGGATCCAGCTTTGGCGCCAAGGTGGGGGGGGGGGCACATAGTCGGCGGTCATGACCCCCATTACCTCCTCCTTGGATCCGCTCTTGCTACAAACTCTAACAAACATCCACTCATCCATCTAAACTTTCGCATTTATAATATTAGTATGATTATTTGGAATTTATGACGTACGTTACATAAATGTTATAAAATTTTAGATAAAGTATCAAACACATTAAATTCTACTGTTGACACAACGCAAAAAACAGCACAGTCCGCTTTTGATACGGGAAAGGCATATGCGGTTACTGCAAAAGGTAATTATTTTAAAGATTAAACTAAGATTACACAGACTTGAACACGTTATTGTTTTGAAACAAAAGTTAGACGTAATACTGAATTTAGTGGATTTGACAGCGGAGGAGATGCACAGGGTGGGAAAATATCCTGTAATAGCTGTTCCCGTGCGGCTTCATCCACATGAAATTATGAAAATTTTATTTTATTTAGTTTACATTTGTCAAATTATCAATAGCAAATGTCAAAATGACATGACAGTACAAACATTGGCAATCTTGCTTCCTTGATGTTGGCACCAACTTATGGTCTCTTTCCCACATTAGGGTTTTTATCCAAAACATTTACCTCTAAGTTTAATGGCGTGAAAATATATCGCCTAAAGCGTGACGTAAGTGTAGGGCTATTGTTTACGCTTTATTATAATAGTATAGAGTATAGAGTATAGATATTTGCATCTCCTCTTCTGTCAATTAAGAGTTGGCAACGCATCTGCAATTGTGGATGTCTATGGCAGCCATTTCGGTGGATTCAAGTGGTCGCTTGCTCTTTTGTCACCTACGTTATAAAAAAAGTATACTAGTTAATATCAAAATACTTATTTTGATTTTACTTTAGCTAACGAAGTATCTTGTTGTGCAATGCACTCATATTAAAGACATTTGCGAGTCGTTACTAGTTTAGTTCATCGTATTTATGGCCATAACTTTATTTACATAGACACTGTGACTGGTTCAGTTAACGCCACTGTTGAAGGAACGAAAAACGCAGTACATTCTGCTGTCGACACGTCGAAATCTTGTTTAGATACTGCTAAAGGTATTTTAATCTTTATCCCTATTGTTTTCAATAACAAATACATTTTGTGTTTTAACAATTTCCATTTGATGTTTTCTTTTTAAATGTAATATCAATCGTCATTTGTTTAGTTGCCAGTATATTTTTCTAATTTCTTAGTTTATCTGTTCGATGTTCTTATTAGTATTAATTGTTGTTTTTTTTTATATTTTTTTAATAATCATTCGTTTAGAATCATCACAATTAACGATGCAAAACACCTTCGATGTTTCGAAGAGCTATGTTAACACAATGCTTGATGTAGGCAAAGCATATTTAGACTCCGCTAAAGGTAAAAATGCTAGCTTATTTGTTTGTTTTTAATCAAGCTTATCATTAATTGAATCGCTATTAATGTTTTAGAAAGTATTTATCGAAATTAAATACGTAAAATGTTGTAGATACGGTAGCAAGTACTGTAGATAGTACTAAAAAAACCGCCCAAAGTACAATCGAAACAGGAAGGGCTTACGTCGACTCGGCTAAAGGTAACGGAATATTCTATGTCCATCCGATTTGTAAACTTGACATAGATTAGATATAATATAGACTGAAATTACTATTATTTATTGAGGCATCATTAAATAAACATTAAAAAACTGTCGCACCACTAGCTAGTGTCGTCAGAGTAAAATCCGATATTTCCATCATACATTTTATACGTTTGATTATCTGACAATTTACAAGAATTGTGGGACGGACCCTTAAAGTATACTTTCATTTTAGATACAGTACAAAATACAATCCAAAGTACGGTAGATACGACAAAAAATGCTGCACAAACTGCAGTTGAAACAGGCAAGACTTACGTTGACACCGCTAAAGGTAATTAAATTAAACTAGATGGCTTTTTTATGAATATTATTATATGATACGTTACGAATAGTTTTTGTATGATAGATACCGTGGCCAGTACAGTAGACACGACCAAAAAAGCTGCCACCACCGCTGTAGGCACGGGTATTTCCTATATCGGAGCTGCGAAAGGTATATAGTTTTTTTGTTAAGAAGCATAAAAAAATGAAATAAAGGACTTTAAATATCTTATATAAAAATTTTGCTATTTTTGTTTATTCTAGCTGACTAAAAAACGGTAAATTCTATTTAAGTTCAAAAACGAATGCTTATTTAGCACAGAATCAGCTATGTGAGGACCATGTAGCATTTATTTTGAATTACTATGCTCATTCACTGAAACGTTATTATCTCAGAGTATCAACTCTGAACATCATGTATCAACATGTCTTCGTATAGACATCGCACAATTTTTCATTGATCACATTCTTTCTGTAGACACAGTAGTTAATACAGTTACCAGCACAGTAGACACGACCAAGAATGTTGCGGCTTCAGCAGTAGATAAGGGTACAGCATTAGTAGGAAGCGCTAAAGGTATTATTAAAAATATAAAAAAAAATAAACACATTATTCGAATTCTATTAACATTTTTTATTATTCTCTGATAGATACAGTCGTAAATACAGTTCAAAGCACTGTTGATACAACTAAAAATGTAGCCGCATCTGCTGTAGACAAAGGTTCAACAATCGTAGGAACCGCTAAAGGTAATTTAAGACTTTAAAGATTTACATACGATTGTTTTAGAAGACTGAAGTTTCTTTTTTTTGTAGACACAGTAGTTAATGCTGTCAGTAGCACTGTAGATACGACTAAAAACGCAGCTGCATCTGCAGTAGACAAAGGCACAGCTTTAGTAGGAACTGCTAAAGGTATACGTTTTAAATTGTCTTCATCATGTAGAGTTATAACGATCTTCAATGTAAAATCCTTTTGTTTTGTAGACACTGTCACAAGCACAGTAGATATGAGTAAAAACGTTGCCGCATCTGCAGTAGACAAAGGTGTAGGCTTTGTTGGAAGTGCCAAAGGTAATTAGGTGGGAAAATCATGAATTATGTACTCATACGAATCTGTTTATTGATTTATTTGTATATATTTGTAGATACCGTAGTTAATACAGTCACAAGCACGGTAGACACAACTAAAAATGTCGCTGCTTCAGCAGTAGACAAAGGTGCAGCTATCGTAGGTAGCGCTAAAGGTAATGTTAGATGTTCTTAGTAGACAGTATTTGAAAAGAAACGTAATATTTGTATTTAAGATGAAACTCATTATTTTTGTAGATACAGTAGTTAATACGGTTACCAGTACAGTAGACACAACTAAAAACGTTGCTGCTTCAGCAGTAGATAAGGGTGTTGGTTTTGTTGGAACTGCCAAAGGTAATATAACCAAGTATAGTTTAACTTATGAACACATTACAGAAAGCTAGTGTCTTTATATAGATTTTAGTGTCTTTCCCTTTCCACCCTTCCCTTGAGAAGAAAGGACGGGAAGGAAAAGTGGATTTGACGGTGGAGGAGCGGCATAGAAAGGGGAAAAGTCCTTTTTATGTGCTTCTCCTCCTTCGTCAATTAAGGGTAGGCAACGCATCTGCAATTACGGATATTTATGGGCAGCGGTCGCTTTACCTTTCGGTGGATTCAGATGACCGCTTGCTCGTTTGCCACCATATATTATAGAAAAAAACATTACGGAAAATGTTTTAAAAATAACATTGCATTTGTAGACACAGTAGTTAATACAGTTGGAAGCACAATAGATGCGACTAAAAATGCTGCTGCTGGGGCAGTTGAAAAGAGTGCAGCTATTGTTGGTGGTGCCAAAGGTAATATTAGAGTTACATAATATTTGAACGACTCACGTATAAATCTATTATTTGAAATGTCTTCTTTTGTAGACACGGTAGTTAATACAGTTACCAGCACAGTAGATACAACAAAAAACGTCGCTGCTTCAGCACTCGATAAAGGTGTTAGCTTTGCCGGAAGTGCTAAAGGTAATAGATAAATTCTGTACATGAATACATGATGTAGTTATTGGATTACAGTTATTGGACACTATAATTTGCTTTTAATTCGTAGATACTGTTGTAAACACCGTTGGTAGTACAATAGATACGACTAAAAATGTAGCTGCAAGTGCAGTAGATAAAGGTGCAACCTTTGTTGGTTCTGCTAAAGGTAATACACGTAATATATATTTATATATATAGGCACTTTCTCATTATCTCCTTTCTTTGTAGATACAGTAGTGAGCACAGTTGATACAACTAAAAATCTAGCTGCATCTGCAGTAGACAAAAGTGCAGCTTTTGTAGGAAGTGCTAAAGGTATTTTTTCAAGAATCAATAATCCATTTGAAATAAAAAAATCATAGTATTCTTATTTGATTTTGTCCACAAATTTTCAAAGACGTGCTCTTTTTTTTTTAATTTTTAAGTTTGATATTATTTATGTTTATTGTAGATACGTTCTCAAGTTCCATTAGTAGCACTGTAGACACGACGAAGGGTGTTGCTAGTGCTGTTGTAGACAAAGGGTCATCTTTCTTAGTAGGCGCTAAAGGTATTAAATCTGTTTTTATCGTTTTAGTCCCAGGTGTGAAAAGATACTGTTGAATAATTAATAGGTACATGCTTTTGTGGTGTTCTACTCGTAATTCTCTTTATATTTCTGGATGCATGCGGTTCTTTAATACTTTTCTTGGAAACTAACACTTTCCCTACTTATTAGTCATAGATGTGCTAAGTTCCCCTAGTAATGCTGTGTTAATAATACCTGTGCTTCTGTATTTCTAAGGTACGTTTTTTATGTGGGTGTTTAACTTCTGTGTAATTTAAATTACAATTTATAGGCTTGGTTGAATCAAAATTTGGAGCTACAAAAGAAGATGTACCAACAGTATGGGATGATTGGGCCGAAGATTCTACTGGTACAATAGTGATTGAAAGATAACAATAATAACCGTGTTTTGTGATATTTTCAGCTATTTTAATGATTAATTTAATATTTGAATATATAATACGATATCAATCATAGTTACTTACCATAAAAGTTAACCTAGAATCTACCAATGCTGGATCAACAAAAAACAATGCAAAGATTAATATAGAAGTAACTTTAAACTGTGTGGAACGCTAATACAATCCAAAACCTATTTATAATAGACCAAATCTTGCTTTAGCTTTAGAAGTGTGCCCGAAAAATATTAATATTTGATTTGTTGAAATGAAATTTTGTTCCTCAGACACCATCAACACGACTGTAGACACAACAAAGAAGGCAGCAGAAGACGCGAAGGCGCAAGCTGTGAAGGCTGCAGAGGAGGCCAAGGAGAAGGCGCGACTTGCCGCTGAGGCTGCTAAGGAAGAGGCTAAGAGAGCCGCCAGTAAGTCTAATCTTCAGTTATCATTGCAGGCTTTAAAAAGCACTGAAAATAATGTTTTTGTAGAAACATATTCATATAATTGGAATTGATTCATAGACGTCGATTATCGCCCATGACAATGAGATTTTAACCCGTAATTGAACATTTTAAAACATCTTCATAGACGCTGCAGTGGAAGAATCTAAGAAGGCAGCGGAAAAAGCGGCGGCGGACGCCAGCAATGCGGTTCACAGCACTGTCGACAACACTCTGAAGCGCGTGGAGGACGCCGCTGACCAGGGTCTTAAGAACGCCAGCAATGTCGTCGACGCCAAGATCAAGGACGCTGATAAATTCCTCAGCGAGAAGCGTGATGCGGTATTTATGTTTTAAAATTCAATTCCTTTTTTAAAAGTGAAATAAAATCAAACTCTGTCATATGTCTGTAATGTTTCTTCTCTAGTATACGCCCCTGTCTATCTGATGGACTCTTATATACCTTTATCTATGATTGTCTTTCCTTTCACAGTGAATTTACATGATTTTTTTTATTTCAGCTTGTAACAAACATCTCGTCCGCGGCGCACGATGGCGCGCAGGGCGCCGCCGGACTGCTCAGCAAGGGACTGGCCACCTTCCCCAAATAAACACTTTATAACAAAAAACTCCTTAAATGTCTCATAAAAACATAAAATCATCCGGGAAACTAACAGACTGCTTTGTAAATATATTATTGTATTGTATTTTATTGTAAACATATTTGTAAAAAATGTTACATCCTAAATATATAAATATTGTTATATGAAATTTTTAAACAACGTGTTACTCAATTATTATATTTAATAACAATTAATAGTTCGAATCTGTTGGATTTCCCGTTCATTTTATTTTCATTTTATTTAATTATATGTGCACATTTCTATGAATATGCAATTTCAGGTACAATTATTTGTTACTTATATACAAAGTAAAATTTGCTATTATTTATGTATACATTATTTTAATGTTTGCTTAAAATGTATACAATGTTAAATGTATACATTTTGCTTAGTTATTAAATCTCTATGTATGTACTCGTCTAGTTGTAAATAGTATAAGTTATGTTAAGGTAAATGTTCTTTTAAATTGCATTTTGGCTTGCAGTTTGTTATAACATGCTTGGCTTAAACCGTCCGTAAAAATTGCCTTTATTTATGAAATACTCAAATAGACACTGAAAAATGTTTTATTTATACATGTTATTGAGGCAAAATTACACAAATATTTATTATATTCATAAATATATTTCAATTCATTCTTGTATAATACAGTTTGTAAGCAGATAAATAGTACATATTTTTTATATTTTGTGATACGATTTTATATATATATTATATCAATGCAATAGATTAAAAAATATTTACATTGTATAATCATGGATTTTTACACAAAATAATTGGTTTTATAGAATGTTGTGAATTTTATGTTGTAGGCATGTGCTACGTCGTTGAAAGCTATTTTTCAAAAATTCTGTAAGTTTTGTTATTTAATAAATGCATTGCCATCCATGTTGTTGTTTTTTTTGGAACCACGACTTTAGAAACCCAGCCAGATCATCAGCTGGCGATGCCTTTGTGCGGTTTCTCTAATGAAATTATCATTAATCGCTTAGGTTCGATCACCCATGGCTAAAAAACCTTCGTAACACCTTCGTTTATCTTATTTCAGGACCAAAGTCTGACATGTTTGTAAATAAAAATGATAAGTGTTCAATTTAATTTGAAATAGGATCAATTTTTACTTAGTTATATTTATAAATACTTTCATTAGTTAATAATAAATAAACCAAATTCTTAATATACTAAATTACTAGTAATACAATACTAAATTACTAACAATAAAAACAATTCTTATTATTTTTATTGGGGTATTTAAAATAAGTGTAAGAAAAAAAACTTCCTAAATATTTTTTAAGTTTCGCAGTTAAAAAATTATTTTTACACTGTACATTTACTCTATGAAGCGTCCTGACATTTCAATTGACTTTGACGTTAAAAATAAAATCAATTTCAAGATTTCTTTTGTTGTTTTAAGATTGTTATTATAGTTATGTAAAATGAATTCGCTAATTCGTGCAAGTTTTTCATTTGCCAAAAATGCAGTTCTATCATCATCTATTCGGTCTATTACTACAACAAGACAGTTAAATCTAAAAGAGCGTAAGTTTTGGTTACAATTTATTTTGTGTTATAACCTTAAAATTTGTTTCGTCAAACATAAAACAGGTATGTTTAACTGTTTTAGTGCGGGAACATACCGAGGGTTCAACATTAGTTGTTGAAGGTGTAACTGTGCCGTCCCCCCGGACAAATTTGCTTGTTCGAGCTGAAAATTTAGCTGGTTTCGAACCAAAAGAAGGAGCGACAGAAAAACCTTGCTATATGTGCTCATTAGGATTAGATGTGAAGCACACAGATGTGCTTATCCTCAGTCAGTTCGTGCGATCTGATGGCTGCATGCTGCCGCGTCGTATTACCGGACTTTGTAAGCGACAACAGAAAAAGATTGGCAAACTAGTGACAATGGCCCAAAAAGCAGGTAATGTTAAATTTAAATGTTTGTCTTCCCTTTTCGTATAAAGATAGGATGGGAAGGTAATGTGGATTTGCTAGATATCTATAAGTAGGGCTTTTTTTGTGTGACTGCATGTAGTTGTCTCCAGGAAGCAGTTGTTTTGCTATTTAGCCCATGAAGATGTCTGCTTGCATTTCCTACTTAGTACTGTAGAAAATTGGTCTAATATGACAGCTTTTGCTTAATTCCAACTTGGTTGTTATGAAAGTTATTTCTATCTGAATTATTAATTTTAATTATCACCAACTGCATTTTTTTGCTCACTAAGTGATCACTCACCATTTTTCTATTCTTGTATAGTTCTATCTATAAATAATCTTATATAAATGTTACATTGTTGCAGGCCTCATGATCAATCTCACTCCAGACAACTGCCAAAAGGATCCAAAGAAGCGGAGATTGTACAAAAAGTTCAACACATACTTTGATGAGAAAACAATCTTCATGTGGAGAATTCCTAAACCCACTGATAGATTTAAACGATAATCTGTAGACAAATTATTAATAAAAATAAAATATTAGTTACACATGTTAAATAAAAGACCGGTATTTTTATTATAATTTATTTCGTTGTCTAATGGTGTTCATGTCAGTATATTCTGCTAGAAGCTTCTGTACATTTAAATTCATTATGTTATTTAAGCTGTATTAAAAGAGCAAAATAACCAGAAGAGAAAAATGCATTAACTATTTTCTACAAAATAAGAGCACTGCCAAATTTGCATATATTTTTTAACTCATATATCAAAAAACGATTGAATCTTAATTCACATATAACTTACTTAAGACGAATGCTTACTCAAATTTTATTATTCTTGCTTTTTAACTAAGTAAATTTTGACTACTTAATACATAAAATGTTTTAAACAAAGAAATTTAGTACTCATGTATTTTTTAAAGGTAAATAATCATAAATAAATGGTTAAGATTAACAGCCATTTATGGCATTTACGGTTAAGGACATAAATTTCCTACCCGGTGTATTTAACATTCTTTATGCTGCAAAATTGCCATCTACATCTATACTTGGTATTCTAAAGAGGAAAGATTTGTATTTTTGTATGTATTTTTAATTTAATATTAACACAAAATACTGGGCCGATTTTAAAAATTCTTTCACCATTAGAAAGGTAATTTATCTGTGAGTAATATAGGCAACATTTTTAAATAGCGGGTGTCGCGAGCAACAGCTAGTCTTTGTTTAAAACACTTTATCTGGTATATTAATTAATTCTTAGGTTATGTTAAACATCCTATGCAGTAGTCATTTAGACAGTACAAGCTACAGTCGTTATGAGATCACAGCCTTTCATAGAGATATAAGTATCCCAAATCCTTTGGTGGATTTTCTGAGAGAGCAACCTGAAAATAAAAACATTCATGAAAACTATGTTCCTGTTTTTAATGAAAATCGTGAATATATACTTCATAAAATATTAATAATAAACACACTTTGTTAGGAAAGATGTCAGCACTCACAGCAAATTTTTTGAATAACCCTTTTTAACCAACTTCAAAAAGGAGGAGGCTTTCAATTCGTCTGTTTGTTTTTTTAACAACTAGTTACGATTATAGGTTATATGTTAACACGCTATTTAATTTAGAGCGCGAATAAATTGGAAAAAACATGTGGGGAGGAATAAAAATAGCAAAGATGCAAAATTGCCATGATACTAGTAATTATCCAATATCAAAGGCCTTTGTCGTTTGTGCAATAAATTTTAACATTTTCATATGAAAGTTTTAAAAATATAGACAATAAAACTTAGTACTTCAATAGGAGCATCCAGCATTTATAGCTGAGCGAGGGCCCAATCCGGTCAGCATTGCAACACTAATTTTAAATATTCCTTTTTCTTTTTATTAGTTATGTTTCTCATTATTTTGAGTTTAATATTTTTTTTTTTCATAGTTGTAGTGTTGACAAAGGATTAAACATTATTTTATTTTTTTATTTTAAAAAAGTTTTTTAAATGCCAAGCGGATTAAGACGCACAGGGATAGGCAGTTTATGTAAAATTTAGAGATATAAAAGCAAAAATACTTCAGTGCAAATTTTACAAAAAGATTACGTAATAGTTAAATTGAAAAAAAAAAATTTAAAGTTTGTTTGAAAGCAAGGACAGTGATGTTACCTTGTTGTCGTTGAATATAACCCAGCGTCCCTCGTGCAGCACGTGGCACACGTAGTGACCCACCATCGTGGACGTGCCCATGTGGGAGATGAACGCCACCAGCTTGTATTCTGCACATGTATATTTTAAACCGCTGCAGTGCAATGTTTCACAAATCAATTAAAACATTTAAGTTATCAGCCAAGAACTGAAACGAATCTTGAACTTTAACCGGTAATGTTAAAATATTGACATTTTTTAATATATTTCTATAATAATAGGCAATATGCATAGAACGCTAAATTGAACTAAACTTTTTTTCAGTATACTTTACTACTATAAAAACATACATGTAAACATTTTTTTTTACATAATGTGATTTTTAATATAATGAAACTTAGAATTTGGTTTATTTTCATATCTATACTAACATAGGGGAAAAAATTGTATTTTTGTATGTATTGAAATAACTTAAAAACTAATGTTAAAAACTTAATAAAAAGCTGCATTATCTGTGATTAACATATGCTACATTTTTTTATTATTTTTTAATTTCACGCGGAGAAAATTGTGAGCAAGTTAACGAATAAAGTAATGGATTAGAGTGACTGGCCTAACACTGAAACAACAATTAAATATGTAACATTGTGTTAATAATAATTAAATTCCATTAAAAACCAGCGATAACGATCAAGCCGAGGTTCGGCCCCCTCGGGCACCCTTGAATCGGAATGCTAAACGCGTACTGAGTGACAGTCCAAGCCGAAGTTCCCTCTCGGGGGCCCTTGTATCTAGTCACCTCATCGAGCGTCCACCGAAGCGATCTAAGAGCTCGGTGGCCTACCAATCCGGTAATAATAACGAAGTAACGGCTGGTGCCTAGGTTCCTGAGGGAGCCCTTGCGCTTAGTTACACATAAACGAGGTTTAGGCTAAGCGCCATCTGCGCTCGACCACCTCAAGCCCGGTGTATCTGTAAATGCTTCTTCAAGGCAGATAGTGGCCATTCAGTCACAAAAAAATCCATTAAAATCGTCTATCAGATTATCAGCGCCTACAAAGTGTAAGATTCGTGTCAGTATTGATGCAAGTACAGTAGTCTTACTCTCTGGACCATCCCTGCAGCCGAGCGTGCGGTCCTCCGGCGGCGGGTGGTCCTCGTCGAGTTGGTCCGCGCGGCTGAAGATCCAGTCGAGCGCGCGGCCCACGTCGCCCTGCGTGGCCCGCAGCGCGCGCTCCGCCTGCGCGCGCGTGAACCCCATTGACACTATGCTGCCCACGCTCGACTCCTCCAATGCCACGCTGCCACCTGACACATCACATATATATTTTTATTTATAACTAGCTTTCGCCCGCGACTCCGTCCGCACGTATTTAAAAAAAAACAAAAGCATGTAGCCTATGTGTTCTTCCAGACTATCCTCTACATCTATGCCAGATTTCATCTAGACTCCTTCAGCCGTTTAGGCTACAAACCCTAACAAACATCCATCCATCTATCTATCCATTCATCCATCTAAACTTTCGCATTTATAATATTAGTAAGATATAAGATGGCAAACGAGCAAGCGGTCACCTGAATCCGCCGAAATGGAAAGCGACCACTGCCCATAAACATCCGCAGTTACAGATGCCTAATCTTAATCGACGGAGGAGGAGACGCACATCAATAGGACATTTTCCCTTCCTGTGCATCTCCTCCACCGTCAAATACACTTTTGCTCGCTATTCTTTTCTCTTAAGTAAATTGTGGAAAGAGAAAGGGACTAAAATTAGGCGTCCGGCACCACACTCATTAGTCGAAACGCGGAATTGCTTCCACTTCACGCCTATTTTCTGTGTGGTCGTGGTATTAGTTTATGTGATACGTGGTACCTGCGGGTGCGGCGCCGGGCGGGTCGAACTTGTTGGCGAAGTCCCAGTCGGTGAGGTGCTCCATGAGCCAGTTGGAGGCGGGCTCGAGGCCGGCGTTGCCCGTGTAGTACAGCGCGCGCTTGCACGCCTCCCCGGGGAAACCCATGTCCAACTACACAACAATAATTATATATGTATTGTTAAGAACAAAATTAGTACTGTGCTGTAGAATTGGCGCAACTCTAGATTATCGGCATAAATGTCACATCCCTAACTGACAGCTGTCAATGTCACTAGAAGTATGGATAGATTGGCGCGAATGCTGAGTCCTGACGAGAAGTGTTACTCTGAGTTTAAAGCGACAGTATCAATTAAATAAGTTGTCTAAAAGTATAGACAATTTCCACAAAGAGATATTAATAAAGGATATCTTTTAGTTCTGTAGCTCAGAAAGGTAATAATTATTAGTAAGTAAACAAAAAAATCTGGTGAAATTCTTAACCCTTAATTCATAATGTCCAGTGTGACGACCAAGAATGATTAAAAAATCTAATGAACTAGTTTATTTTATATCCAAAAAATCTAACATTTTTGAAGACATAACCAAAAAAGTGAACTTTTTAAAACCATGTAGAATTAAGGGGTTAAGAAGTAATATTTTGTATAGAGAATGCAGATAAAAACCTATCGTACTATAAAATAGATCATGTTCTAAAGATCTACCCTAATTTAAAGTAAAATATTCAATATAGATTATTCAGTTCAGATCTAAATATATATTTTTTGGTCTACTTTGATTAGTGATAAAACCAAATTATGTATCTAAAAATGAATGTTTTATACTCACGAGTTGCGCCAGTACCGCCTCGTCGTACTGCGGCTGCGCGGCTTGCGGACTGGAGTCCGGCAGCTGAGTCTCCTCGGGCTGCGGCCCGCGCCCGCGGAGACAGCTTAGGTCCACCTTAACATAAAGATTGCTTTATAAGAAAAGGACAAAAATTACAAGCCGATACCAATAAACAATTATTGATTTTTTTTTTTACACTAACTGCATGTTCAAAGTTAATTATTATACTGTAGAAAATGAAAAACAAAGAAGCAGAAGAACATACAGAAAAGGCGTACACAGCGCTCACAAGAAAATGATGTTTTACTTTTTCAATTCAACATTGAATCAACTAACCACCACGTTAATTAAAATTAGGGTATACATATTAAACAAAAACAATAAAAGAAAATTTAAAAGTGTTACTGGGTAATAATTTTGTTATTTAAAATTATTGTTATGGTTAGTTAAATTCTCGACCAATAGCATCAAAGAATCAAGGTTTCTATATTTATTTAAATCCTTAGTTAATAGCAAGAGCCTTTTGTCGTTTGAATCTTTGAATTATGATATTTACTTAGAAATATATTTAAAAAGGTTTACGCAATTTTAAAAATAAAAAAAACTTTACTATGCAGATATCGCACGAACATTTTCTAATAATGTAATAGTAAAGAGTCACTAGAAAATATCAATTTAGTAAGAACCAGAGAAATACAAAAGGACTAACAGGCTCGGAAAAAAAAACCCGGTATAAAGTTAAACTTAGGAATAAACTGAGTATAAGAAAATATTAGTACAGATTTTATTTGTAAGGCTGTAAGTGTACTGTATAGTGACGTTTGGTAGTTTGGGCTGGCTTGCTGGCATGGTGTCAAGACAGTAGATATGATTAGTGTACCTCCCAAGGCATGTCGACGGCCACGTCCAGCTTGGCGGGTGTCCAGTCCTCCTTGATGGTAAACTTCTTTAACTGGATGAGCAGGTAGTCGGGGAAAGTCGCCAGGCGAGTTATTCTGTCAAGTTAATATATTTTGTAAATTCCGTTTTTTTTAGGTAATAAATGGTGTTTTATTTTAGTTATTATTTATTTATAACTAGTCTATTTATTTAAAACTATAGGCCGCTACAGACGGGCAGTTCTGTTAACTAAACTGTCGAATTTAGTTAAAACAGTGTGTAGGCAACTTTAACTGTACAGTTCAACTTATAGTTAAAACTTTGCACAAATACAACATAGTTTTAACTGAACAGTTCGGGTATTCAGATAAAACTGTTCGAACTTAGCGTCTGCAGCGGGCTTTATATTACAGAGCAACGATTTCTATTTTTTGCATGTAACGAATAAACTCCAAAACTACTGGACCGAATTTAAATATTATTTCACCATTAGAAAGCTACATTATTAGAGAGTGATATAAGCTATGTCTAATTCGATTTTATTTTAATTCAGTGCGAACAAAGTCGCATACAAAAGCTAGTTTTTTGTAGCTAAAACTGTTCTATTGTGTTTTTGGAAAATAACAACGTAGATCAAAGTCGCATGGAAAAGCTAGTATTAGTAGTATTTTATAGTTAAAACTTGTTCTACTGTAGTTTTGTAAAATAACAACATTGTAGTTACTTTTGCGCTGTGACTTTTTCATTGACTGCGGTACTGAAGAACTGTTCGAGAGTTTCTTCACGCATAAAGCTCTCCAGACACGCGCTGAATGGGATCTCAGGCCGCACTAACTGCGATGGATCTCTGGAAATTAGACAAAATCGTTTAATTTACATAAAAATCAAGTTTATTATATATCGTTATCGCAAAAAAATACTATTTAGTTAAATAGGCGTTTTAACCCTTTGACCGCCGCTCAAATTATGGACATTAATGTGACAACCATAAACAAGTATCACAATTACTTTTAGTAGATGTACTTTATTATTTATTGCTCAAGATCGTGTGTTCATGCACGTACGTAAATAGGTATGGACAGTTCAGGCCGACTGGTGCCAGTTAATGTTGACATTACGCCAGTTGTATAGACCAAGGATCATATGGTAGTAGACAATTTTGTAAATTAACAATATCTTGAAAGCGTTAAATTTTGCCCAATGTTACGAAATTCTATTATCCGTTTTTTTTGAACATTTAAGAATTTCGATATATTTTGGGTATTTTTTGCTTTAACAATTGTAGTGCTTGGTTTAACATCTTTATATCGTAGGGCCGGTCCGCCCCCCCCCCCCCGAAATATCACGACCACACAGAAGACAGGTGAAGTAGAAGCGATTCCGCGTACAGTTTGATGAGTATGCATTCTGGACGCCCAATTTTAAACCCTTTTCTCAACCTTTTTTTCATTGTGAAAGTGGATTGTGTTTGTGGAGACGCATCGGGAGGGGATATATCTTTATATCATCTTCAAGTCTATTAAGGGTAGGCACCACTATTACTGTCTGGGGACATTGGTCACTTCGTATTTTAGGCGAATTAGTTCGTTTGGCGCCGTCTGTGTCACTAACAGTCTCTGTCCCGTAGCTTCGGCCGCGGCCCGGCGTTGCTCGTAGTCGCGCACTTGCGGCGCGTTGCGCGCGGCGGCGAGCGGCACGGGCAGCGGCAGGTGGTGCTCTGCGCGGCGCGTGTAGCGCACGCCGCCGGACGCGCCGCATACCACGCGCTCCTCCACACTGAACCGCAAGCATTCAGCCGGGTTCACGCGGTGACGACTGTGTCTCTGTAAGGAGATTATATATATACTAGCTTTTGCACGCGACTGTCCGTGTGAAATAAAAAAAAACAAAGGTAAGCCTATATGTTCTTTCAGACTACGTTCTACATCTATGACAAATTACATTCAGATCTGTTCAGCTGTTTAGGCTGCAAACTCTAACAAACATCCATCCATCCAAACTTTCGCATTTATAGCATTAGTACCTATTATTAATATCACAAGGTGGCAAACGAGCAAGCGGTCATGTAATACCACCGAAATGGCGAAGCGACCGCTGCCCATAGATGTGGCCCATAGGACACGCACAAAAAGAGATTATTACCCCTTCCTATAAATGCACTTCCCCTATCCCATTCTTCTTTTTAAAAAAAGGCGAGGGAAAGGGACTAACATTAGGCATCCAATACGGACAAATTTAAAAATAGGCAACGCTGCAAATATGCAAATCTACCCATTTTCAGACTACTTATGGGTAGCGGTTTTCCACTTTAGTTGCGGTTGTTTTATTTTTTTTATGAAAAATATTAGTAGATTTTTGTTGATTCACTAATATTTCCTTTAACCATCCCGACTAAGCTCTAGGCTTGTGCTATGATATGGTTCACGAGAATAGTCGAATGGCGGGATTCGAACCCTCGACCATTAATCGGTAGTCCGTAGCCCAAACCATTAGGCTATTGGCACTTGTAAAACATGTAAATAGTAATACAGCAGAACTTCGAAAAGTTAAAGTCCTGGGAAGCAAAATATTTTAAGTTATAGAGGTTTTAAGTTATGTTGTAGAGGTTTTGGGCTCTGATGGGAAGGGAACATATTATTTTTTGAAGTTATCGAGGTTACTGTACCTCAATAAGTGTGAGCAGATGCAGATAAAACTCGTGCGCGTCCTGCTGCCGCTTGCTCATGAACTCGGGGTGTCCGCGGCCCACCAGTTGGCGGTACATGTGCGGGGACACGCCGCGCTGCGCCGCGCCCTCCGGGAACGAGTACCGCCCCGACACCAGCCCCACGCCCAGCTTCGCACTGCAACACACAACAAATCTATATCTATACTATTATAATAAAGCGTAAACACACACTTTGTTGCTTAAGATGTCAGCAATTACAGCATATTTTTTAATAAAAAGCCCTACACTTACGTCACGCTTTAGGCTATATATTTTTACGCCATTAAAGTTGGGGTAAATATTTTGGATAAAAACCCTAATGTGGGAAAGAGACCATAAGTTGCTGCCAACATCAAGGAAGCAAGGTTATCATCATGTCATTTGTAATTGATAATTTATAATAAATGATAATAAATGAATCTCCATGAAATTTGGCACAGATTTAGTACATAGTCTGGAAGATCACATAGGCTATTTACTTTTTTTAATTCGTCGCGGACGGAGTCGCGGCCAAAGTTAGTAGACCAGTGGTAGTGCCCGCTTTAACATCTTAGCACTGCAGGGCCGGCACGCCCCCAGTAATACCACGACCTCACAGAAGAAATTCCGTATTCCGTCTTATGAGTGTGGTGCCGGAGGCTTAATTTAAGTCCCTTTCTCTTTACCACACTTTTCTTATAAAGAGAGGATGGGAACGGGAAGTGGATTTGACGGTAGAGGAGATGCATAGGAAGGGTAAATATCCAGCGGTCGTTTCGCCATTTTAGCGGATTCCGGTGGCCGCTTGCTCGTTTGCCATCTTATGTTAAAAAAAAGACCACTAAATACATGAAGTTTGGAGACATCAAAGTAAGGTACCTCGCTATACGAGATCTTGTAGTAAACAGTAAATAATGTACATGTCGATACTTACGTTTGTACATTAAAATCGTTCGCCGGATCCTCAGGGAAAGTTGAAAATATTTCAGGAGCACCTTCCACGAATCTCCGGATGAAGTCTGGCATTCTGAACATTACCTAAAATATACACATTTTTGTATCATTTTGTATATATTGCGTCACATCATTCTTTTCATGTATTATGGTGAGTACTGTAAATTATGTATACTGCTCACTATGTAAGTTATGCATGTAGTATTAACTTGGTAAAGTTTGTATATCCTGCTTTCAGTGTAAATAAAAGTTCTATTTGCAGTACGAATAGGGTGAGTGTTGTAAGTTTTGTTTGCAAATAAGAATGTGGTGAGGATTGTAAGTGCTGCTTGCAGTACAAATGCGATGAGAGATAAAGTTTTATTTGCAGTATAAATGTGGTAAGTGTTGAAGTGTTGTTTGCAGTATAAAGGTGGTGAGACTTATTCTGTTTGTAGTATAAATGTGGTGAGACTTATTCTGTTTGCAGTATAAATGTTATGAGACTTATTCTGTTTGCAGTATAAATGTGGTGAGACTTATTCTGTATGCAGTATAAATGTGGTGAGTGTTGTAGTGCGCAGTATGAATGCGGTGAGAGCTGCAAGATACCTGCACCACGCTGTTGATGTAGCAGGTGTTGCCGAGGTTGTTGAGGCCGGTGAGCGCGGGCCCGTGCAGCGGCCGCAGCTCGCTGCCGGACTCTTGCAGCGTGTTCCACTCACCGGTGCGCTGGTTCAGCTCCAGTTCCAATTCCACCATCGATTTGTCCGTCTATAGTAAAAATGGACGCACGTTTATCACAAACTGACATATGTACAAAATATTTATTTGCATGGATAGTTCCAATCTTACTAATATTATAAATGCGACACTTTATATGGATGTTTGTTAGAATGTGTAGCCTAACCTTCTGAACGGATCTCGATGAAATTTGGCATAGATGTAGAGCATAGCTTTTAACATACAGGCTACATACTTTTTGTTTTACTTTTAAATTCCACGCGGAACGTATTTGTTGAATTTAATGGAAATGACAAAATATAAGAAACTTATCTATTTTAACTATAAAAAACAGTAAAACAAGTAATACTGAGTGTCTAAAACAGATTTCAATACTAACTTTCTGCAACTGCTGTACATTGATGCCAAAATGCTTAAGATGGTCTGCGAGGAATGGATCCTCGACCATATCATCCTCAGCATAGGAGAACACGTCACCTTTCCCATCTGGGGTTATCGTTCCCAGTTTCACTGCCAGTGGGAAACCGGTTTCACGGTAATGTTCCACCTGTAACAGTTACATTTTTAAATTAAATTTTAATGTTTTAAAGTACTAATATTACAAATGGTAAAGTTTGGATGGATGGATGTTTGTTAGAGTTTGTAGCTTTTATTGCTAAATGGATCTCAATGAAATTTTGCATGTGTGTAGAGAATAGTCTGGAGGAATACATAGACTACAGACTTAGTTTTTATTTTTCATGCGCACGGTGTCGCGGGCGAAAGCTAGTATTATATATTTAACGATTAAACTTTGTTGCGGATTTTCACAGGTTTATTGAGTAATATAGTTGAGAATTACTTTTACTATTCATTAGGTTAGATGTCTAATGTAATTAACCTTATCAGAATCTCAATTGACTGAATAATTATTATTTGCTTGACTTGTAACTTAATTATTACCAATAAAATTGTATTTATTTGTCTAGTTCAATATTAAAACGAAGTAGTAACGATTACATTTGGTTACTGTACAGGACTCTAATGGTATTAAAAATAATTGAGGTTTGACTCTAATTAAAACATGTATGACAATTCTTACCGCATGATCATTGCCTCCGGAGCCATCAAAAAATCGTCTCCCGCAGAGTATGGAGCCATCGGTGAGGTTCAGCCACAGGTTTGTGGTCAGTTCGCACTTATCACACTTCCAGCCTGAAGGAGGAATCTTCACCTTGTTGTCTAACTGCTGCAAGTTTACTGCATGCCTAGAACATTATTAATTTTTATAATGTAAAACTTTTAAAAATAAAAAAAATGCATGTTGTGAGGAGAGATGAATCATATGATACAAGGAAAACTTTATTTTGAGTGTGGAGATACACCGGTAGAGTTATTTGAAGGACGAAAAGTCGTTTTATCGACACTACGGGTGTAGGATAAGTTAGGGTAGATTATGATATTATAAATTTTTTAACAGAACACAATTATGGAAATAAAACAATTTGACTTACACTGATATCTCTCGTCTCTCACCATCCCATGTCCCCTGTAAAGCAGCCATCTCCGCCATTTTGAATGGTGACTCCGCATTTATAATCGCTTGTACCGATTTTTTTACCTGAAAAGATTTAAACAAATTAACAGTTAATTCAAAAGGCTGCGATAGACGTATATCCAACATTGAACCATTTTTAACCCTATTAATTGGCAAATAATGCAGTGATACAACAGTCTAGGAGAAAGAGATAGATATATTTACCACTTCTGGTAGCGATGGATCAGGCCAGGGAAATGTGTAGAAACCTGGCAACACCACAACATTGTATTTATCAGTGTAGGTGTACTTGGGTTTGCCGATATCTGGCTCGAATCCTCCTTCCACTCCAATAGCGAGACGGGTGATCTTTTTCTCCGGTCCATCGCCAGTTACTTCTGGTTCTGGTATCTGTAATATTACAACATTCAAACTTTACTGTATCTTGTGATAAGAATTAAGTTAATGTTCATGGAGAAAATAATGCAGAGAGATGCTCTTCGCCTGTCCGTCAGAACTAGCAAGCTGTCATAAAGTTTGGATTGTACTATACTTTAAGTAGCATCAACTTACAGGTTTCTTCTCCCTCTGTATGTGAAGGAATACAGGGTTGCCAGTCTTCTGGAAGTACTGTTCCACATAGTTACGTCCAAAGCCAAGGAATGACGTTAGTGAAACGTACAAACCCGTTTCTGACTCCTGGAAGATAGACATAAAAGTTGTATTACCACAAAAATAGACACGTTTTCACCAACAATGGAAAAAATATGCACATTGAATACAGTAATTATTATAATACACTTATTGAATTTTAAATATATAATAAAGTTTTGCTTAAAAAACATAACATGAAGAAGTTATTCATTGTAATTTATCGATTTTCTAAGCAAAGTTCGTAATCTGCATAATACGGGCGGAAGTAACTGATACGACATTTGTATATTGTTTACATAAAAAAGGGACAAGATACAACTGTCAGCTCACTATACCCCACCAAATAATGGGTGACTAGGCCAGTCAACCATGTTGGCCAAGTGTGGATTGGTTGGCTTCACAGATATCTATGAATTTCTTCGCCAATATGTGCAGGTTGCATCATTACGTTTTCCTTCACCGTAAGAACGTCGGGTAATTATTATATGACTGTATATACAGATTAATAAAAAGTCAACCATTTAAAAAAATCCTTTCTACATTATATTTGAGTCAATACAACTTTATAATAAATAAAGTTAAGTATCATAAATAACATTTACTATATTTTTAAAATAAAAAGTTCCCCTATAAGTTGTAAACTGATAAGCACTATCTCCACCAAGCACAAAACATGGGGGCTTGAACCACATTTATTTGAACAGTCTTATAGAACACAATGGCCAACACGATAGACTTGTACCTTGGAGTATTTCTAATTTTGTGTGGCTTCGGTTTGAGTATTTTAAATTTACGAAGAGTGCTAAAGAAAAATCTAACAACAATATCTTCAGTGTTGCTATCAGAAAATATTCTCCTAATCTGTATTGGTATAGCATTTATCAGTAGATCAATATATGAATTGAATTCAACGAATTTCACTACAAAGGATATGGAAGTAAGAACAGCAGAGTTGAAGAAAACGAAGATTGAAGGTTCAATACAGTGTGGTTTCTTCTCAGTTTTAATAAGTTATGGACCTTTAATAGTTTCTTTAGTCAATAGTTTTTTGAGTCTTATTATAGATAATTATATGCATTATAAATTATTGTATGATATCAAAGTTAAAGATGATGAAAATGTTGTCAGAGTGATCGGTGAAGAAACAAGAGATGGAAGAAAATTGAATTTCAATACTTTTTTTGATGTATGGAAAAAATATTATTCATATGGAATTATAGCTTTACAGTGGATTATTCCGGTCTTGATTGTCTTATTAATGTATCCTATGGGAGCGACGCCAATATTAGGAACTGGTGAAGAAAGAAGCATTGATGATTCCTGTATTACAATGTTAAATTTGGCAACTGAAAAATGTTCCAATTACACATATTTTAATGGTACAGATTATGCAATACCTGTTAAATATCTGGAAGTATACAATTACAGTCTACGAAATTTGAATGAAACCAAAAAGGTTGACTCTATTTTGGATAACGTTTTTAATATTCTTGCCAGTTATAATAATCAAACAGATTTTCTTTACACTAATGAGTCAAGATCATTACGTAGACCTAAAATAAATGATATTTGCATGAAAATATGTTATGTTGACAGTAAGAATATGCTTCTTTATATATTTGTTTTAGTTATTGTAAGTTTTTTCATACCAATAACTATTTCTTTGGTTATTTTAACAAAAATAAATGTTATGGAAGTTAAAAGAGGAAATATGAAAACTTATGTCACCAGAGAATTGTTATACAATATACTTTTTTGGACTCCTGTAATGTTTGATACATTTCTGTCACTTATGTTTTGCTCTTATTCTATGGATGGCATGCGATCTTCCTTGTTTAATGTAATTGCTAACATATATCAAACAGTTAAAAACTTTATGAACACTAAATATTTTAAGGAAAATGCTATTGTACCTATTTAAGTATTTTATAAAGACAATTTAAGTGTTTTTTCTTACTGATTTATCATTATTCACTAAGTTTTTCCATCTGATAGATATAGGAACAAAGTTGACATGATATACTGCATTAAAATAGTATTTAAAAATGATTCTTTCATTTTTACTCGTAACAATCAAAGAACTGCGATATTTGAATTATTGAACTGATAAGATATACGATCTTTTGTTTGCAATTATCTAAACTAAAAGGTTATAATATATTTTGCAACTCACCGGATTGTCAAATGAATAAACACATTCATCTTTGTAAACTATTTGCTGAGAAGCCGGTATTTTGATCTTAGGTAAATGTGGCGTTAACAATTCCACTGAAGCCATGATAAAATTATTAAATGTTATTTATAACAAAGTATTATTTATATTAAAGTTTATAACAGCAGCGTCGATCTAAAAATATAATAACTAGTGATGTGCTTTTAGCTTTTCACTTTTACCTTTTTGCATTTTACTGTAACCTGTTTACCGGTTTACAAGATTAGTTTATCAATACTGGGAAGATCATCCCAATAAATCACCTTTAAAAGATATATCAGGGAGTAATAAAATTCTCTAATGATTTATAAGAACTTTAAGGCAATAAATTGTAGAAAATAGGTTGTCTATGGAGTTTACTTATTTAATCTATAACTTTTAACCTTTGCCCTTGTTTGCTTGTTTATTAAATATCTGTCTATGGTTTGTCAGTTATCAAAAGTCAAAAGTAATCTTAAAAAGTTTGATAAGTTTTATATTTTTTTATTTAGGTTTTATAAATAAATTAAATTAAACATGACGTTAAAATTGTATTATGATCTTATGTCCCAACCTTCACGAGCTCTATATATATTATTAAAGGCTACTGGATGCAATTTTGAATCGAAGTATGTGGATTTGCGCAAAGGTATACTACTTTTATCTTCTTTTTGACTTTAAGTTATCATACTGGCACTAATATTTAATATTTTGACCATTTTCGTGGCTTGGTGATAATAACGATTTCTAGATGTACATATCCAGTGCAGATTTAAGTTAGTAATCTCTTAAAAATCATGTATTGTATTGTTACATGTATTTTTATAATCTATAACTGTTTAATACCTGCCTATAATTCAGGTGAACATTATTCTGAGGGATATTCAAATATTAACAGACTACAAAAGGTACCTGTGATTGATCATGATGGCTTTCTACTCACTGAAAGGTTAGCAACTTACAATTTGATAAAAGTCTTATAAAAAAATTAATCCTTTTATCAATGGATGTTTTTGCAATTTTTTTTTTTAATATAAGGTGGCAAACAAGCAAGCGGCCAACTGAATCCACTGAAATAGAAAGCAACCGCTGCCCATAAACATCCGCAATTACAGATGCGTTGCCTACTCTTCATTAAGGGTAGAGGAGACGCACATAAAGAGGTCATTTCCCCTTCCTATGCATCTCCTCTACTGTCAAATCCACTTTTCCTTCCCATCCTCTCCTCTTAAGAAAAAGGTGGAAAGGGAAAAGGACTAAAATTAGGCCTCCGGCACCACACTCATCGGACAAAATGCGGAATTGCTTCCACTTCACACCTGTCTTCTGTGTAGTTGTGGTATTACACTGGGCGAGCTGGTCCATTCATGCGAAGATGTTAAAGAGGGCTCTACCACTGTTAAATTCTTTTGCCATTAGTACACAAGATTATCACTAACATAGACTATATTTATTTATTTGTTAATTTAAAAAAATGTTTGATGTTTTCAGTGTTGCTATAGTCAATTATTTATCCCGAGAAGGTTTAATACCGGAGACCCTGTACCCAAAAGACAGTAAGACCCGTGCCTTAGTTCAGGAGTACCTGGAGTGGCAGCATACTGGCCTGAGACTGCATTGTGCTATGTACTTTAGAGTAAAGGTAATTACGACTTTTTTTTTATTTATCATTAACATATTGGCTTATGTAATTATCTTAAAAAAATCTCTAACAAACTTTTTTGATGGCAACCGAAAGCGTAAATATTTTACTGGCTTCGCAACAGTAACTGTCTTGCTGGGTACTCCCTTTTACTGGAATGTGTATTTCTACTCTTACATTCACCGCTTTCAACATAACTTTATGTGAGTTCAGTCCAGTTTACTTTAAGGTCTAGAAATTGTAATGTATTTTTAATTAAAAATAATTCCTTTCAGTACATGGATCCCATTCTATTTGGACGGAATCCAACTGAAGAGCAGATAAACGGCTACAAGCAGCGAATGGATTTTGCATTACAACTGTTTGAGACGAAATGGTTGGGAAGAGGCACTGATTTTATTGTGGGGAATTCTATTACGGTCGCAGATCTATGGGCAGCGTGCGAACTGGAGCAACCAAGTAAGTGTATTTTTCTAGAATAATGAACAAAGTAATAATACGAATTATACGAAAGTACAGTAAGCATGAAAATAGAAATTTGTCAGTTTTTCAAAAATATGTATTCACATATCCTTTTTTGACTATGATCTACTTAATAATATGTGATTACGTATTTTTGAGTCTCTAGGCCTTTGCAAGCTTCAATAGTTTAGTTAGTGTGTACATATTTATGCAGCTGACTGTACATTTTTAATAAGTTATGCTAAACTCGAATCTCCCTAAATCAGGAAATTAATTCTAATATGTAAGGCATTTATACAGTCCTGGTGAAATCCATGGTCCATAAAAATCTGGCAGACTTGTAAAAGTGTGAATAAAAGTTGAAAAAGAAGTATAGAAGTAGGGGGTTCACCAATTTAAGTAAATTATTATAATAATAATTGTGGAAAAAAGGTTGAGAATCTCTGATAGTATCTGATGATTCAATATGATTTTAGTGTTAATTATTTATATATAATTGTTGAAAATGTTCTTTTAATATTGTATTTTATTTCAGGAATGGCTGGTTTTGATTACACAGATAATTATCCTAATATAGTAACTTGGTGGGCTAAAGTGAGACAGTACTTTGACCCACATTATTATGATGCTCATGTTATTTTAAATAAAATTGTAATGAAACAACAAAAAATGTCAAAATTGTAATGTACTTTGTAAGTTTTTTTACCACACAGAAATTTTTTAAAAGATTAAAAATATTGGGTAGTTGTAATGTTTGTTATACTCCGTATATGTGAATGAAGTTAAAGTTATAACTTAGACTTAGTTTTAACTTTTACTGTCAAAGTTATAGTAGATATATTAATGTTATGGGACTATTAATAAATATTAAAAAAATTCTATTTAAAAATTTAATGTTGGTAAGTCTTCAAAAGCTTGTACTTGTTCTTTAAATGATTCCAGTGTTGCCAAAGGTCAATGTATTTTAAGTCAATTTGATTTATTTATTAATGAGATCTAGAAGAAATACTTATTTAAGTGCTTAAAAATTCATAGCCACCTATCTGGTTATTGTGTACCTTATTTGTTATTTGAGGGGTAATCTTTAAAAGATACCCTGACATGTACCCTGCCTTCTGGGGACAAACAGGGTTATGTGGGTTGCACACTAAACTGCCTCAGTGGCCATCCTCAAGTGACGCAGGTTCCGGGATCTCTAAAGAACACCGGAAACAGGATATTGTGTACCTAGAATAAGCTACAAGCCTTATTTAATTAGTTTATACGATGAAAAGGTTTATTTTTTTATTTTTATATTTATGGGATATGGCAATTTTATATTATTTTTTATTGTTAAATTTATATTAAAAAATGATTTAAATAGTCGTATCGTTTTATTTACACACAACCAGAAACCAAAACCTAGTTTTTTAAAAAGGTCTACCATAGATAACACTATACCATAGGTAATACCATAGATACCGATGGAGTGTTTTGCAACAAAACCGTTAAAGAGGTAAGTAGTTAAAATAGGTAAGTATAGTTCTTTTCCGATATCTCGGCGACTATAAACTTCGCGCGAGTCGTACAAACACAATTCTATGTATAGCGGTGCATAGCAAGACGCGGAGACTTCGCAACGCGCTGATGACCTTGGGCTGCCAAGATATTAAAAAACCCAACGAAATGGATTTCGACAAACGTGAAACCTGTATAAAAAAATTGTTTTGTACAAATCACAATAAATACGGATGTTTTGACTGTGGAAAGCTTAAAAAAATAGTATAGATGTTGTCAAATATCTTGGCCGATCTGAACATCGTTCGAGTCGTTGAATCGTTGCACAAAACACAAAGATAGGTGTAGCGGCGAACAGGGATGCGGGGGGAAGGTACTGCGCAGCGCGCAGATGACCTTGAGCCGCCAAGTTCTTTGAGAAGTATAATATGAACAGGAAAGTGAATCGGTATAAAACAGCTTATGTCCGTTGTTTCTTATAAGTCTAATTACGTAAATTATCGATGAAAATATTCTTCGAAAAACATTAATTTTTTCGTTAATCCCCAATTAATGTATACTAGGCCTTTAAGAATATTATGATCGTAATTGATAAAAATCCGCTTATTTTTAACGTATTGCTAAATCGCTCTTCTCCGAAGATTTTTTAACTGTTAATTGTTCTTAATTTTTAATTGTCTTACTCAACAAGCGTTTTCCAGACTATGTTTTTTTACCTTTTATAATTGAAGAATCTGATAAGACTACAATTGTTTTTGTATGTTGTCTACGAATTTAAACCTTTGTATTTGTGTAACAGTGAATGACCTAACCTAATGCGTTAAAGATTAACATCGGCTACAATAAAATGAGAGTAATTCCAATATATCATCAGCATTTCTGCACCCTAGAAGTAAATGGATATGTTAAGTTTAGGCCCTTGTCAACCACACTGGCCCGACTTCAGCCATCTTTGAATTTGTTCATCACGATCTCCTTTCCCTGTAAAAACGTCGGACAAATGTGTACATATGAAATTCAATGCACAAGATGGGAATAGAACTTGACCCTGTAGAATAAGATGCTTATCTACTTTGAGTTATTGACGCTTCTGAACCACCGTCGTAGTATCCTGCAGTATACTTGTAAAAGGTATATTATTGATCTTGTTTCTTTGAAAAATTAGTCTCAAAATAAATGTATCTAGTCCTGTAGGAATAATTCTTTTTGCGACTTAAAATAACATGTTTAGATATACGATGTGAGGAATTTTAATGAGCATAGCCACAAAACTCTATCCCTAAAATGAAACTTCAAGAAGTAAAATAATACATTGACAAAGTTGTTTTTAAAATGTTAAAGTTCAAACTAAATAAAACAATGACAGAGACAAATTAGTAAAACGAGAAAATTAGTAAAAGTTACCTGTGTAGAAATACTCTTAACGTCGATATTAACTAGTACAAACAAATTCTAAAACTTCTATTTCTAGGTATATTAAGCTAGAGTTACATTTTCTATTTTTAGTATAAATTTAAAAACTTTACTTAATAACAACGATATGATAAACAAAAATATCTAAAGAAATTTACTATAAAATCGGGTGAAAGTACATTTATAATAACGTATTACTTTTGATGTAGTTTTTAAATCGTACCTCATATTGATGTATGTATTGTATTTTGCAATCACGAAAGACAATAAAATGCACGAGAATAAAATAAATGCGAGCATTACATTGGGCGCGAGGGAGGCGCGCATGGCATTGGGCGGGCGGACGCTACACCGCTACTCTGCTACGCCGCTACGGAGCTACGGCGCCCTAGCCTCTCACCCAGTCGCTGCTGTCTGCATGCGCTTACAACATAGCTCCGCGCCTCCTCTGAGGTTAGAGCTTTCATCGCTGTATTGTTTACAAGTGAAATAAACATTTGTTTAGATTGTTTATTTATTCTAGATTTCAGTTTTATTTATTACAGTGCTACTTAAAGTGGTCTTTATGAAGTTAGATGTTGTTTTAAAATGTAACTTTGTGTGGAATTCGTTTTTAAAATTAGTAAACAATACTGTACTTGAGTTTACCAGTTTATTATTCTAATCAATTCAGCGTTGCTATATTTTTATACATACCGAATAATAATAGTTAGTGTATTTCTTCTAATTTTTTTTTTCGTTTTAAAAATTCTATAATTGTTTGTTTTTGTAGGAAAGTTTGTTCATATTGAAAATGTCTGATAAAAAGGAAAGTGGAAAGAACCCAACTAAGCAGTCAGTGAAATGTTCGGTACCTATCGAAATGTAAGTAATTAACTGATATATCTATATCATTATTCAAAAACTATCATTATTTGTTAGTGTATTTCTATGAAATTGCTTTTTTAATTTTATAACTTGTCATTTCAAACAGAAGATACAATGTTTTCATTTGTTTATTACTCGAATATAAAACAAATAAAGAATAAAAAAAGGTTACATATACGTTTTTATTATTGTTTTTATAAAAGGTTTGAATAAAAAAAAAAACCCTTTTATTTATAGCAATAATACAATGTTTTTTGTTATTTCCTTTGAATGCGAAATAAACAAACTATAAATGATGTAAAAATAGAAAGTCTACCCTAGAAAAATTAAAAGTCAATGTTTTATGTGTTTTGAATAATTTTTGAACTCATTTATGTCGGTGTAAGTACATCATTATTTTTTTCAGTTTTCTGAAGATTAAGGAGAAGCAGCGTCGACTTGAATTACTTGAGAAACAAAGGTCGTTGTTGGATAAGATGAAAGAAGAGCATAAGCGTTTTACCGCAATTGAAAAACCTGAAACTATAGTTGCTGAACCTAAAAACGATGATAAACCTAACATGCGCGAAGTTCATGATGAGAATGATAGAGTAAGTAAACAAAAAAAGCTTTAAAAGTTGTTGGATCTTGACACTCACGATTTACATTATCAATTTTACATTTTATTATTATTAATAAGGTCGGAAACCAGCAAGCGGCCACCTGAATTCGCCAAAATAGCGAATGGACACCTGTGCCCTATGCTCTTGCATCGCCCTCAAATTCACTTCCTCTTCCTAAATCTTTCTCATGTCAAAATTAGGCCTTCAGCACGCACACTTGTCATCCAAACCTTAGGATTTTTTCTACTTCATGCCGGTCTTCTGTGTGGTCGTGGTATTGCACGGGACGTGCCGGTCTATTCGTGCAACAGATTGTTGCTGGCGTTTACAACTATCGTCTTTAGAATTTATTTATTTATTTTCAATAGGAAGCCAACGTATCACATGAAATAAGTTCTGTATGATGAAGAAAAGTAATTATAACTAAAACACAATATCATGGATACACTTACAGGCTAACACAACATTATAATAAAAAATAAAAGTTTTACATGACAAAGAATTAAAAACTAAAACTAAACTCACTACAAAAAAGAAAAATAACTTAATGTATACTCCTAAGGTGTGTCCTAATTGTAGAGATAACTTTCAGAATTAAAATATTTCATCGACAAATGTTTAAATTAGTACTAATGTGTATCCGTTTCTATTAATTTATTACAGTATAATATGTGACTTTATAATAAACTTGGGATAGTATTAACAAAGCTTTTTTTACAGGTTCCGATACCGGTTCCCGTGGTTCCTCCGGTGCCAAATTTGGTTTTGCCATGCAAGCCTAGCAAGGCGCGTCCCCCGCGTCCGAAACGCTTACGTCGTTTGCCTCACGTTGGACATCCTGCTAGGGCACGAAGAGGTTATAGGCCTCAATACGACGTCAACAATAACACGCCTATGCAACAAAATAATATGATGATTGGAGGTAATCTGCCGGTGGCACCCGTGTATCATAATGTGCCACAAAACCTAATAAATGGACCCCGGTTTCATTAAATTGTAAAATCCGGTCGATGTTAGTGATGGTTTAAAAAAATCTTATCTATCCTTTAAATAATTGTAATTGTTAATTCTTGAAGTTTCTCTGGTTACGGTTTCATCGCTTTACAGAGTTCTTTTGTCAATACAATATAGTTTGCTTTTCCCGACATTTTAGGTTTACTTTTAGAGCCTCAGACTTTTTAATGTCTGAAAGTTTGGTTCGGGCTGTCAAGACAAAATCATATCAAAGCAAATCTGTGGGACTTGTGTATCATACATATTCATTCCGATCAAGTGCCCGTCTAAATTATCGACCGATTATAAGTTTGTAGTGGGTGGGAGTTTTTAATCGTGCATCTTATAATTTGTTCATGAAATAATTTTTATTTCTAATGTTGACGAAGTTTCTATTGATTTTATCTTTACCTAATGATTCATTAGAGTTAAGTTGATGTAAATTTCAACGGAGTAAAACTTAAGTAACGTAGTTCGGAAACGCATTTCATGAAATTATCGAATCAAAAATACTAACGAATGGTATTTTAGCCGAGAAACCGGCCATTATTGTCTGAATATTTTGTTTTGAAAGGAATGTATGAACTATGATGAAATATTTCATATTTTTCGATTACCATTAAAGAAGTTAGACTAAGTTTTTTATACTCTCTTTCATAATATGAAATATCAAAATTTGTAAAGCAATAAAAATTGTTTTGTTGTTGTTTATCCTTTAATTTCATATTCAGGTTTGCTTTTTTTTCTTAATTTCAGTATTTGGAGAGTTTGATAATGGACATTATTTTAAGAAATATATACTGTGTAATATAAAATATTAACGTAAAAGATGTTTCTATTTCGATATTAAATTTGAAATTATATTTATGAAAAATATATTTGGTATGCACTTATCAAGCATTAGTAAAATTTTAATTACGAAATAAGATTTACCAAGACTTTCCATCAGTCTCTAATGTTTTACCTCAATTCAAATGAATAAAATAACAATAAGTAACAAGCAATGTTAAACAATACATGTTACGAAAACTGTAGTCCTACATACGCTCAATTGAAACTGACAGTTTTAACTGAACTGTTCGGCTCTTCAGCCAGGATTTAGCGTCTGTAGTAGTTATTACATGTTTACATAGTCATATCATAACCATTATAGTTAAATAGTAGTTGGGAATTAAACAAAGACATTTAAAACATATATAGACTAGGCATGAAAAAAACACCGGTACTTTCTCTGAAAGGTATTATGCCACCTCTTGTCGTTGTATTGACTTTTAATAAATATATAAAATAATTAACTTAACACAAAATAAACTGAACAGTGTTATAAAATAAAATATAAACATTGAAATATTTTCTAATGGTCTATTGGCAATTAACTTGAATAAAATTAATTATTGACATCGGGTTTTGAGGCTATCAATAGATAGCGTTAGTGATGATCGTATGAAAAATATCTCAAGAGAAATGTCAACTATGCCTCCTCTGTATATTATTTGAATCTCTTTGGAATTATAGCATTAAGGTTATCGCTTATTATATACAACTGGCAAGGCTAGGTACGCGTTAGCAAATGCACGTGGTGTTGACGATTGAACGAACTTGGTGGAAGCGTGAAGGTTGTGATGACTGGAAGCGCAATATAACCTTAATGTGATAATAAATTGTATGTTGTATTTTTCGAACAATATTAATGTGCTAACAGTAGTATATAATAGTAAAGCTATATTCTCGGAAATCATCGAAATTTTTTAGTATATCCTGACATTATTGTTAGTCTAAATAAGATAGATTAGTTTGATAAATGACGCATATGAAGTATCGAATTCTGAAGGCAAATGCCTTCATTCAAACAGAATTCGATGCCGTACTTAATAAACATCGTACTGACGAAACAAACACGCATTGCGAACTATTATGAACTATCGACATTCGGGTTTAAATATTTATCGAACTCAACTAAAATTATTATTTTCTTATTAACTAATTTAAAGAACAATTTTAGTATTGATTATAGTGTAGAGAATTCAGCGATGACAGAAGTAATAGCGAAATCCAATTCGATTACGTACGACTGTAGTAGTAATAAACATTTATTTGCTCTCATTATTTGTATTGGTTCTTATTACTTTAAGAAAACAGTGTTTTTATTTTAATTCATATTTTATAACTATGAATCTATCGATTCCAACTTACATAAGAATAAAAATCGAAAATCGATAAGATTTATGACTGATTTTACACAACCCATCCCTACTAAATTTGAAATGAATTGTCAAACTAATCTATCTTTTTAGACACATTATAAATACATACATGTAGTTAGTATTTTTCGCTATTTCTAAAACAATACTCGGTTTAGTAGATAATTAAAAAAAAGTTATTTCGTAACGTCAATGTCTTAAATATCAATTGTTTTAATATCTATATGTCAAGTTTTTAATTATATCTGTGTATAAATGTGCTTCTTTCAATAAATGTTAATCCATAACAATGTTTCATTTCTATACCGACATCAATACCTTTTACTTCTTACTAATCTCATAAATGTGAAAGTTTAGATCGATGGATGTTACAGTTTGTAGCCTAAACGGCTAAACAGATCTGCATGAAAATTGGCGTAGATATAGGGCATAGTCTGGAAAGACATATAGGCTACTTGTTATTGTTTTTTAATAAAAGGGGAAAGAGTCGCAGGCGAAAGCTAGTTTGAGATAACTACCATAACTGTAAGGTAAGTAACAGAGTAAAAACGAAACTATCAATTATTGGGTCTCTTATCTTAAAGAAAATATTTTAGCCCGCTACTTATGTTCAGTTCAACCCAGGTGTATAATTAAGCCTACATTTGCACAGTTTTAACTAAAAATATGACTACTCAGTTAAAACCGTCAGTTAATTTTCGGAAAGCTTTGCACTTTGCTTAACGTATGTCCGTACAAGCGTATAATTTACTCATAAACAACAACACATGTAAGCTGCATCCATTAAAGTATCTGTTACAATCTTTGACTTTTAAGTTAAAGGACCAGTTAAGCACACACTATCCCGTCTGTCAAATACAAACGTTCTCCCTTGTGTGCTGTTTTGGTGTGCGTAATTGTCTGAGTTTAGTTTGCGTTCTTGAATAAGATGTGCCAGCATGATATGGGCATATGTGATGGCATATCTGTCAACTTTACCTTACCTTACCTTACAGGAAAAGTAGTTGAAATATTTTTTACAATGACAACGTTTTGCTTAGTCCATTTCTCTATACTCAAAGTTTACAACACAATAGCTATCCTACTGGGCGTTGCCATGACAACGGCTGGCATGCATCAAGTAACTTTGACGTTAACACGATTGTCAGGCTCCTGCTAAATATGACTGAAATATGCGGTAGTTTTACAACTTTTAAAACATTCGGCATTCCAAGTGCAAAAGCCTCTAACATGAGTGCGTTCAAATTAATTAACTTCAATGCAGGGTTGCAGGCTTCATTATTTCGAAAGCTTTTACGATAAATATGAAATTGTAAAACTTTAGTCAAATTATTTGTTGAGATAAGAATAAAAAAAAAATTACATATTTTTTTATTTATTTATAAATTAAATAAACACAGCAATTACATAAATACTTTGTTCTTAGTGTAATCATGTATTTATGGTTAACACATAAAAATTGTTAGTAGTTATTTTACTGTTCACGAAAAGAAGATATAATTCCGTATGAAAGGAGTTTACAGTTTAAAATGAAAACTTATTTCCGCTCTAAAGACGGCGTCCACAGCCAGATGTTTTTCCGTCTGGTAGTTTAGCTCTTTGATGTTTTACTTTTAATTCCAGTTAAGCAATTTATAGCAAAGACATATTTTATTTAATGTTTAAGAAAATAAAATATTTAACTTAGATTACTATGATCAAGTTATTTACTTTATTTTGCAATTAGTATTACTTAGTTTTGTTCCTTAAGTAACACCTTTAGCTCCCTTTCATTGTTATAAGTATTTTACTGTGTTGCTGTCAAGTAACTAAGTAGTATCAATAGTGCAAGTTGCCCTGATGATTGCTGACGTTCGAAAGAAGATAGAAGTTTAAGAAGATGCGATAAAAGTTGTCATTTACCTTGTAAACTCAATACTCGGATCGGATCTTACTTGAACTTGACCTGTTTACGTCCGCTTGGGATAAGTTTCAAAGACAACTTATCAAGGTCAATGAATTTTCCTTGTTCGGTTCCGGTTTGGGTTACTCTACACTGCTCATTTGTCTATGCATAAACATATGTGAGGAAGGAATTTATTTCATTGCCCTTTTTTCTATTCTTTCTTTAACTAATCGATTTCTATAGATTATATAATTTTATTGCTATTGCATAAACGTTTGACGTAAAATCTATTATAGTAAGAGAAATAGCACATTGATTTATGCGATCGAAATCATTTCTGAAACCAACAAGATATCCTAATAACATAGGGCATATAAATGTCAAACTGAATGAGCTTTAAGCTCTTCCGCAAAACCAATTACAAGTAGACTTATAAGTCTATAGATAATAGCATAAATTACATGACATCCGACAATCATATTATATTCATTTAGTCTACTTTGGTATTTATTCCACGTTTCCTTTACGTGAAATGTTACTTGATACTTCATAATAGTTTTGAATTTCTAAGTTATTCCAAGCGAACTTTATAGAATTGTTTACTGAAGTTCGGAATCCAACAAGAGATTTATAAGGAAAATACTAGAAAATTTATTAGTTTTTGAAGTATCACTTTATTAAAATTTTTAATTTTAGTTTAGTAAGTTCTTCAATAGTTCAGAACCTTCATTTTTATCTTTGAGTTAGAAAGATTTTTCTCTATAAAACTACCATAGTCTTTTTGTTGTTTGTAAAACGAAAATATTTACATAAACATCTTCATACCAAAGAAACCTTGCTTCTTGATAATGTGTGGGAAGTAATTATTTGAAGAGCACTTTGTTACCTTGGTATGAATTGCTGCTATTTTCATA